AGGACAATCTAGAAACAATATTCACACACAAGATGTGATAGCGTTGCGCGTCTGAGGAAGGCACAATTTGTCCTCGTGAAGTGAAGTTTGGGAGAAATGAGGGAGAAATACTCATTTTCTTCTTAATAATGAGCTACTGAAGACTATTTACAACACCTTTGCCTTGACAGTGACATCTATCTTTTTACAAAAGTCAAGCAATCAAAGTGGAAAAGTTTGATCTCAGCCTACTAAGGCGCAAAACGGCCCTTGCCTCACTTCTGCTTTTGCCATACCACTGTTCGTTGCTACATTTTATCTCAAGCTTAATATCTAGATACTGACTAGATCCTGCGATACTATTCTCACTTTAGAAATATACATGTGCATATGGTGCACATTTATGGTTAAGGGTCAGAGTGCAAGGGTAGTCACTGCTTAGTTTCTTCCCAGCACAATCACTGTTGAATAGAAGACATGTGATTAATTCATTCGTACACGACTCTGAGTTGCATTACTCAAGGCTTAAACTTGAATAATAATTGACACTTCTCACTATAAAAGCCTCCTACAATTTCTCTTCTTTCCTCTTCTTCTTCCTACATAAAACCACGAACAAGTTATCAACAATTCAACAGGCCTTTTCACAACAGCTAATACCTTCAGTGCCAAACAATCAATCGAATTGAGCAAGCAGTACATCAACCCCTGGAAACCCATCCCCAACCCAAGCTTTAACAACACACTCCAAACCTCAGCCCATTGGCCACAAAATCCGTGGGGGCATCCTGTTGACCCTCACTTCATACGACAGTGGGATAGCTTCCGTCGAGGTAGTCCTTTGACCCCTAGTATGATGCAGTAATGACAGGGAGGGTGGCTTGGCAAAACTCGTCCTGAACATGGAGTTTGGTATTAGGATGGGAATTTGGTGGGGTAGTGAGGGGTAAGCACTCGTGGATGAGATAACATAATGTTTATATCATTCTTAGATGATAGATGTTGCCAATAACAATAGACGATTAAAAGATGATATCTTGTTCCCTCGGTGCTTTAAAGGTGCGCCCGAGAAATGTAAGCTCAAGACATAATATACTAACTCCGGCTTAACACTTCAAAACACCAAACGAACACAAGCTCGAGCATTAGAAATTCGGTCAGTCTAGAGTAAAATACCACCAAGAATTAAAGACAATGACATTTAACAATATAGCACAACTTTAAAATGACCCGACCACTAAGTACAAAGCTTTTGTTGTTTGTTTTGGTACACTCAGTACTCACCCAATCGAAAGCTCACGCTAGGTTGTTGTGCGCTTCGGATATAAGATTAGAGTCTTGACTGATATTGTATGTACCAATATAGGTGTGTTTGAGTTTACACGCCTTTTAATCTTTTGAAGTGAAAGCACACAAATCCATGGATGGGAAAAAGCGAAGAGGAGACACGTGGCCCTCGAACGACAGGCACAATTTTCTCTTCACCGTCAGTTCTCTGATGGTGAAGACTTGCGTCTCGAGAGACTACTCAATAGTTACCGCTTTCAGATTAGAGTTTCCACGGCATGGAGATAGACATCCTTGGCAGAAGCAAGATCCACCTTCCCAGCTCGTAAATGACAAGATTTCATTCGCTAATTGTGGTTCACGAGAGCCTCGCCGCAACCGCAAATTGTATCTGCACCACAAACACTTTGCCACATTCCAACTCATATGAATGTTGTGATTCCATGTTGTGATTCCATGTTGTGAGTTCTTTCCTCTTTCTTTTATATTATGGAGCATTTGGTGTGAGATTCCCAGCTGTTCGATTTTGAGGATAGATTTCAGGACTGGCAACATCATTTCTTCTTCGATTAAAACCTTTTGATCTCCTATCCTACTCAAAATATATTCGATCGCACTTATATTTGCCGATATAGATGGGAAGTTCTGTTCATGGACTCTGGTTTTGGACTCGTCTCCCTCGAATCATCGCCGTCGCATTCCAGGTAGGGTGAATCGCTATTGTCATTTGGTGTCTGATAGTATACCTAGCAAATAGCGAAGATAATTTCCTTGGGATCGACAGTCAAGAGGAGAGGTGAGTGTCATCTACAGCATGCCGAATCAATTTTAAAAAAGATAGCAGGTCCAACACATCCGCACTCCACCACCTCGAAGTCATTCATCTCTCGCATGCTTTCGTCGCCACCGCGCTGCTAACATACGTTACCTCGAGCAATATATTTACTCCGATAACCATATTCTTCCTCTGTTGGACTGTGGTTCTTGTCCTCGACAAAGTTTGCGGCACTGTCGGTGATATTTGCGGAAAATACGTCACGTTACCCAACTAGAAGCAACAACAGACTCGGCGTTTTAAATCGAAGACGAGAGCTGAGATATAAAATGGCTTACCTGTATCGAACCCCGGAATTGTTGCTATCCTGGTTTATAAGTTTGTTGGTTGGAGTGGCGACGGGGTTTTTGTGGCTCATGTTGGTTGGTGTTGGTTGGGCCAGAGTTGGATGGACAACCAACAAGGATGACGTGAGTTTGACGAGCGATAACAAGAAAATGACTAAGTTTCGCGACAATGGTGAAAGGTCGCCTGGAGAAAATTCCTCTTTGGACGGCTGTGTGCCGGTTGAAGATGCATTTGACGATGCAAAATTGGCAGATGGCAGGAGGAGAAAAAAGTAGGGACATGTAAGAATACTGAATGCAAAAAAACTTTTAGAATTGACTTAAATGAGAAAGGAGCAAAGCCATTGTGTTACCTAGTGAAGTGTCGTAAAGTTGTGGCGGAGGTCCGAGGTGGAAAGCGGAAGAAATTGAAGGTAAATTTGGTCAGCACTGGGAAGGACAATAGTTACATAACTTGGTACTTTTGACAGTACTCCAATCTATTGCTTTACGGCAATGACAATTATATGCTTGATTCAAAGTCTCAGATAGTGCATCCAAAACATTCATTCCCCTATTCAATCCATCTTATCTTATCACAAGCGAAGCCAAGTCCTGCAGCGCCCATGCCCTACAATCGTAAATCTCCCCATCTCATTCGCTGAGCCCCATCCTTCAATCCTTCGTGTATTTTCAGACCTCACAAACGCCGCCAGCCGTGAGGATCAGCTGCGCCACCAGTCAACATTCATAGTGTTTCAGCTCATATACTAAGCCATACCCCACTGCTGCTTATTTTTCGTGAATTGGTGTCTTGTTGAAAGATGTCCTGAGTTTCGCGCGATTTATTTCTCAGTCTTGCTTTATATTTCTTAACAATTTTGGCTTTTGGATCGAGTGTTTCTGCGATTCGTGGAAAGAAAATGAAGGCTACTAGGGATTGGTCGAGCTATTGGAGCAAGTTGTCGGGTGTGATGTCCCTCGCGACATTGCTTGGGAGCATCACAGTCATCCTTTCGGCCGTCATCGCATATCAAATGAACAATGCTGCAGAGTTGTATAGAGATGTTGACTTAGACAAAGGGTAAATTCTGTTCCCCGAAAGATACTACGGCAATTATCTAATCTGCAACCAGCACTTCAATCTTGTACAACAGCCTTGTTCCCCTTCTCTCAGTTATCACCCTGAGCTTGTCGCTAATTTTTCGTGCTCTTCCACGAACTCTCTTCGTCACTCTGACTATTTTCTTCCTTGGCTGGATAGTCATTCTTACTCTCTGGGGGTTATGCGACACCGGTATCCCTATGCGGCAAGGAGGGGTTGTCCAAAATATACACATGCACCGACCGCTATTTTGCGATCCATGGCCAGATCTTAAGTCATATCAATCATTCGAGGATCCCACCTTATCATCTTGGCAAACTGCGCGATTGGTATTTGGATGTATCATGGGCGGGTTGTATTTGGTGATGGCTGTTTGGGCAGGACTTGGGTGGTGGAATGAGGGAAGAGGTGGATATAGAATGCAGATGGGTGAAGAGGAGATGGATTTCATTGATAGTACGAGGGACCGGCAAAGGGCGCAGAGTGACTGGTCGAGTGATGTGTATTTTGATCATGGGGATGATGCGGGCCATTATCCATCGTCGAAGCCAGACACTAAGAAAGGGGATAAGGGAAGTGTCGGAAATTAGGAATAAACTTGAGGGGTCAATGTGCTACGAAGAATCAAACAACAAATGAAAATAACTCCACCTCTAAAGAGATTGTCTTGCTTCTCATTATATTTCTTAAAACAGCTAAGATGACGCCGTAATAGGGAGCAATGATCTTGAAGGTGGCAACCTGAAAGTAACAAATTTCCAATGTCTCCGAGGAATTATGTACTCTTCTACTGAGGTATACCCACTGAAATGGAGCTCTAGGGTTCGGTGAGGTAGAATATGGTTCGCGAATTTAAAGCCTCGAAAATTCTCGAGGCGGAGTACGGTGTAGTGTATGACCTCGAACATGAGCAGTCAATTGCGCAAAGCTAGCGCCAGCAGTCAAGTTTCAGAACCCCAATAATGCCACAGGCATAACATTGCGAAAAGCTGTGTGCAAAAGGAGAAGGTAGCGAGAGATGCGTAATGGCTTTTAGTCACGTGCATCCAGAAAAGTACCGTCCTTAAATTACACGAGTTTCCGCTGTCAGGCTTTCCTATGGACTCTGGTATCTTCATCAAACTAAGGTCGAGTGGCGCTTCAGAAATTAAAGAATATGGAGAGTTTTATGAATAAAAATGAAGCTCGAAATTCTCACTAATGTTGAAATGTTGTTTTCATTTGGGAGTGGGAAGCGACTTGCAACATGATAGCAACACTTCAAAAGCTTAAAATATTCGAAACCACGATCTTGCTAAAAAGTTCGATAATGTTTCTTTCCAAACTCTGATCGATGCTGTAAGTACTTTTAGAAGCTTCTAAGAAAGCTGGGGTGTCGAAGCTTTGAAGTGGTGAGCCCGTCCAGCGGTGAGCCCCATCTATTCAAACCCAACACCGAGAATATGCCGTGCACGGGCTTCTATGCAGAGAAGCAGCGGCTTTTTCAAACCATACATATATTCAAATAAGCACAACCAATCAAAAACAAGCGTTTGTGGTTTAGTGGTAAAATCCATCGTTGCCAAAAGATGTCTAACAACATCTCCAGCATCGATGGGCCCCGGGTTCGATTCCCGGCGAACGCAACAGATTATTCTATACTTTTTGCGCTTATTTATAGCCAATTTGAATGTAGTGGAGAGTTTCTATCTTTTTTGGGAGTTGGTTGTGGTTGAAAGTGTGGATAATCAGCTAACCGAGGTGAAAATTTGATATAAGTGGGGTCCACCCTTGGCACTTCTCATGAAGGCGGTGAAACACTTTGAACATCGAGATGATTTCTTTCAAGCTACTAGGAGCTTGATTTGACTTGTCGTCGGGTAGAATAGCACATATCAAAAGAAGCAAACAGGTAAAACAGATGCACGTAATAATGCGAAATGGCAACGATGGTTTTCTGCACCTAAACCACAAACGCTTAATCCATGGTTGCTCCTGCCAAGAGAATAGTACGCGCAAGTAAGAAAAGATATGAAACCTAGTAGGAAAAACGAGCCAACGTGAACAACCTCAGATTCATACACGGCAGCAACGCCCAAGATACCAAAAGCAAAAGAAAATTGCAAAACATACAACAGTGGGTATTCGCTGGTGGTCACCCACCCAACTACTAATCCACCGATCTGAGGCTTGTGTATGGCAGAGCGGACGGGATGCCCAATTCTCCTCAGTCTATGGTCGTATGTGACAGATTTTATGTCATTAATATTTATATTGTGTCTGTTTCTACCGTCTTACCGCTGACTTGTGAATTGGGCCAATTGTGCATTAGCGAGGGTTGCAGCTCCGCCCGTACGACCTCTGTGTGACGTTGACCACAACTCAAGGATCTGAAACAGGGATTTCAGAACGCTCGATCTACAACTCGAGCCTCGAATCTTCGATCCGGCTCGTATTAGCCAAGCTACTAGTGGTGTAGAGCAGAGCGCATACTACCCACAGCGTGTAGTAAATGTTAAATGTGAGGTGATCGTGGCCGAATATCTAGGGGAGGTTAGACCAATCACCTGTGCAGACTTCGCAGTATGTTGCCATTTGCAGTTAAATACTGGTCAATGCTCATTAACATTTATTATGGCCTATACGAAGTAAGCATTCGTTCAAGCCCAGAGTCCTGTGCTATTCACGTGTTCGTGACACATCGGTCCTTGTTTGCATATCCTGCTTCTCTTCATCGCAACCAGTCATAATGATTCGGACCTCACGTGTCTGAGGTCAAATAGAGATCTTTCTCGTGTTTTCATGCAGGCAATCAGTATCCCAATCTACAGCATTCGTACAGATCATTCGATGTCCGGCCAATCTCCTGATTGTCACCTCTGTTAGAATGGCCAAAAACCACTTCGTCGCGCATCACCCACTGGTTGATCTAATCAAATGATGATCTAGAATTAAAGTCAAGGATTATCCAATATAACACTTGAAAACTCTACTTTGCACCTTACTGTCGTCAACATAGAGTCCAATAGTGCAGCAGCCAAATATGTCTGCTTTCACCATAGGCGATTACCTTGCTAAACGGTTGGTTTAGATCAGGATCCGACATCACTTTGTTGTCCCAGGCGACTACAATCTTATTCTTCTTGACAAGCTCTCATTATACCCAAAATTGACAGAAGTTGGCTGCGCAAACAAATTGAACTGCTCAATGGCAGCTAAGGGCTACGCTTGCGCCAAAGGAGTCTTAGCTTGCATTGTAACATACAGTGTCGATGCCCTTTCAGCCTTCACAATGGCATGGGCAGTGCGTACGCAGAAAATCTTCCTCTTATCTTGATCAGTGGATCACCCAACACTAATAATGCTGGCAAATTTCATCTCTTGCACCGCATGCTTGGAGAGCATGATTTCACCTACCAATACAAGATGGCAATGAAAATCACATGCTGTGCGGTATCAATCAAAAGAGCAGTGGAAGCGCCTTGCCTAATCGACCAAGCGATTCAAGCTGCACTTATTGCACGCAAGCCAGCATATATCTAAATTCCTACAAATCTATCCGGTGCAGCATGTGGTTGGCCTGGTCCTCCAAAGACGGTAACTGATCCTGTGCCAAGCAATAAAGGAGCCATGGCCGCAGCAATCGATCAAGCAGCCCAATATCTGGACGGAAAGAAGAAGCCCATGATTCTGGTAGGGCCTAAAATACACAGAGCAGGAGCAGAAAAGGAGCAGCTAAAACTGGCCAAGGCTCTAGGGTGCAGTGTTGCGGTCTAGCCAGCTGCTAAAGGCTTCTTTCCTGAGGATCATCCACAGTTTGTGGGCATCTTCTAGGGCCAGGTCAGCATGCTCGCCGCTGACCCCATCGTCCACTGGGCAGATGCCATTATCCGTGCCGGTACTGCGTCTACAGATTACAGCACAGTAGGTTGGACGGCATTGCCTAATATTCCTCATATGGTTGCTAAAATGAACCACATGACATTTCCCGGTGCGCATTTTAGTCATGTGCGGCTGTGTGACTTCCTGTTGAAATTGGCAGAGATAGTCACTCGCAACAATACCATGATGATAAAGTACAGGCGGCTCCGCCCCAACCCTCCTATTGAACGGTTCCCTAATGCAGAAGAAGCGTTGACCCGCAAAGAAGTCTCTTGACGGGTGCAAATGCTTCTCACACCAGAGACAACTCTATTTGTGGAGACTAGCGATTTGTGGTTCAATGGCATTTAGCTGCGGCTTCCTCAAGGAGCGGACTTTGAGGTCAAGATGCAGTGGGGCCATATTCGTTGGTCTATTCCAGCTTCTTTTGGATATACACTAGGGAAGAGAGACCAGAAGATTGTTGTCATAGTAGGCGACGGTTTGTTCCAGGTGACGGCACAGGAGGTATCGCAGATGGTGCGGTGGAACCTACCAAATCATTATCCTCTTGATGAACAACAAAGGCTACACAATTGAGGTGGAGATCCATGACAGACTCTATAATCGCATCAAGAATTGGAACTATAATAAATTAGTAGAAGCGTTCAATTCCATAGACGGTCATGCATTAGGACTACAGGTGGCAACAGTGGGAGAGTTGGCGGTGGCAATGGAGAAGGCGCAGGGTAATACGGAGGGACCTACCCTCATCAAATGTGCTCTACACCAGGATAACTACAGCAGGGAACTGATAACTTGGGGCCATTTTGTTGCTGCGGCCAATGCCAGACCTGCTACTTATTCTTGAGTCTATCAAAGAAACATTCAAGTTAAGCTATTTTCCTACGCCTAGTTTCTTACTTTATGGTGGGGTGTCTATGCACTTGGAGTTAAGCATATAGAAACTAAAGAATGATCTATAAGTAAAAGGAAAAGAAAAAAGAATTTGTGATAAAAGAGGACTTTTTGAGAGGCAGATAATAATATTAAAATTCTCCTGCAGGCTACAGATGAGTATATCGCGGATCTAAGCTCAGAGAGGTTGTGTTGTAATTCGTAGCTGATAACCTGATGTTGGATATAGGTGCTTAGGGACTAAGCCAATGGCAACCATAGACTCTCCCAAATGCCCACTCCTGCCCAACGCTCGACTCGATGAGGTCCCGGTGGTCCTTTTCTAAAACATCACGTGACATGAGGTGACTATCTCAGGTCACCGGCATTTCGAAGGATGTCGAGTGCTTCAATATCTGAAATAAGGGTCACAAACGCTCGCATAAATATACTCATTCTTGGTGGTCATTTTATTGCTTCAAATTTACCCTGTCGGGCTGTCACTGGTGAGATAATAAATGTGACGATCATGCTTGGTAGCATCAATTTGACCAGTTTCTTTGGGGTAAGTGCCTTTTGGATTCGGAGGAATTCCGCAGGAAAGTAACACTGAAAAGGAGTTTTGAGAGATGACGGATCCCATGACTGAATGAAAATGGTTTGAAAAATATCCTGCGAAAGCAAGGGTGATATCGGTCTCACGAAACTTTTGGTGACTGCTTGGATACTACACTATGTCTTAATTAAGTGATTCAATTTGCAGAAATATTGCTCCCAGAGCTTCCTCTTATTGTTTTATGCGTTTTGTTGTTAGATTTCGACGGTTGCTAAGTTGTTGGCGCATTACTCTTTCCTTTTGGTAATGAGGTCAGAGTTGAAACATGGGAGGCCTCTTTACGAGTCGAACTTCCCGACGTGTACATCATCGCCTCCTCCGACCTCAAATCCTTGATTCGAGCATCTAGAAGCCCTGAAACTGTTCTAGGAGATATATCTGGGCTGTGTTACATCTGCAATGCGACTTCAAGTTTGTGGTTCGCTTGCGACCCCTTTTACTATTCTGGGGTGCGCGCGAACGTGCAGAATTTCAAACCGCACTTTACCGCGCACGAAGTGTGGTAAATATCGTTCTTGCAGAATAGCACATGGCAAAATTCTATATTCGTAAGGTGAAAGTGAGTACGACCGTTTCAGGGAATGTATGAATGTTGGTTAGGGCTGTTAAGCGGCGCGATTCCAACCCCTCTGCGAACACTCTCTGTTAACATACACTTGCGCTCTTCAAGTCTCTCAAAACTTACCACGCCCTGCAGAGCTTTGAAGTTTCTGAAGTTGCTCCGTTTCCGAATCGCCCGGGCTAGATTTATAATCTAGTCCTCGAATTATGTTTTCTAATTCGGCAGTACGATATGCGTCAATCAAATCCACAGATATTGACATCAGCGACGCTGCACCGGAATCTACGCCACTTTGGAGGACCCTTACGTTTTCAAATATCCGGACTTTGTATTTCATTTCGTTACACGTATTCATCTTCATCCTATGTGCGACTCTCCTGGATTCTTTGCTGCACCCACATCTCCAATCCGGGGGACTTTTGCCTGCTGAACTACGCAAGTGTCCCATTCCAAATAAAAGTTCGACATTTTGACATCAGGGCAGCTTTTGCAAAAAATGCCATCAAGTACGAGGCTATCCATTTCGATCCCAGTGGCTTTTCCGATGAAAATGAAGCACCGAACGCATATGAGGGTGTTCCATCCCCAGAAAATAACGACATGTGGGCGAGGTTAATTGCTGGTAATGCATAAACATTTCCATATTTACGACAAGAAAGTTAACTATGGGATAGTTGGTAATTACGTTCTCACGAAGGAGGAACATGAAC